ATTAGATTTCGAGTTATGATGGTCGTTTCTCAATCAGAACTGCTTATCGACTATCGAGTGGCATTGGATATCATCAAAACCAACAAACTTGTTCCTTCTAGACAAGACAAGCTTCCAATGTTCGTGGAAAAATTGATGGTAGAAAAATATTGTCAATTTTTTTTTTTCTTCCCAATTTTGCATTAATTCATTTTAATTATAAAGTATAAACTTCAAAAGAAAGAAATATGGAATAAACCTTTTCTCTGTGTTAGGGTTCTCTTTATAGGAGAGAATACACGCACATAACTAGCTGGTCTAATTAATAATTTCCTAATTTACAGCATTTGACCAATATTCTATTTACAGCAAATATCCTCTAAATATTATATTTACAGTTAATAATATTTGGTAATATTACTACCGAATCTTTCCTTTTCAACACTCCCCCTCAAGCTGGTTTGAAGATATCCTCCATAGCCAGCTTGCCAATTAGTCTGTTGAACTGTCTTGTAGGAAGTCCCTTTGTAAGCACATCTGCAACTTGCTCAGTAGTAGGAATGTACGGTATACAGATCAATCCTTTTTCGAGCTTTTCCTTGATGAAGTGTTTGTCTACCTCCATGTGCTTTGTTCTGTCATAAAACACTAGATTGTGAGAGATCAAAATAGTAATTTTATTGTCACAGTACAATTTCATAGGCAACGGATTAGAGACCTTTAATTCATCCAATAGTCTCTTAATCCATAACACCTCACAAATTCCATGAGCAACTAATCTGAACTCGGCCTCTACACTGTTTCTTGCTACTACATTCTATTTTTTACTCCACCAGGTGACAAGGTTACCTCCAACAAAGGTGTAGTAGCCAGAAGTTGACCGCTTATCAATAGCACTCCCAGCCCAATCCGCATTAGTATAGGCTTTAACTTGCAAATGCCCACAGTTTTTTAACAGTAGACCTCTTCCAGGGGTCCCCTTTAGGTATCTGAGAATTATGTAAACTGCATCAAAGTGTTCTCATCCAGGTGAATGCATGAACTGGCTACCCATGCTGACTGCAAAAGCTATATCTAGACGTGTATGTGACAAGTAGATCAGTCTTCCAACAAGTCTTTGATACTGCTCTCTATTCATAACTTCTTCATCTTTAGAAGGCTGCAGCTTAAGGTTGGGCTCAATAGGTGTCTTAGCTGGTTTACATCCTAGCAGACCTGTCTCACTAAGTAAATCAAGAACATATTTACATTGATTCACAAATATACCTTCTTTGGATCTAACAAACTCCATTCCAAGAAAGTATTTTAATGCACCCAAATCCTTGATCTCAAAGTTGCTGCAAGTCTCTTTTTCAGTCTCTCCAATTCTTCATTATCATTACCTGTCAAGACTATATCATCCACATAGACAATTAACATTGCAACCTTGCCTTCCCTACTGTGTTTGTAGAACATGGTATGGTCAGCTTGGCTCTGACAGTAGCCACAATTCTTGACAGCTCTCCCAAATCTCTCAAACCAAGCTCTATGGGACTGTTTGAGACCATATAAAGATTTTTTCAGTCTACAGACTTTATTAGGTTCTAATTTTCCCTCAAACCCAGGTGGTAGATTCATAAAGACCTCCTCCTCAAGATCTCCATTTAAAAAGGCATTTTAAACATCTAACTGGTGTAATGGCCAGCTAAAATTCACAGCCAAAGATAACAAAATTCTGATTGAGTTTATCTTGGCTACAGGAGCAAAAGTTTCCTGATAATCAATTCTATAGGTCTGGGTGAACCCTTTTGCTACTAGTCTTGCCTTGTACCTCTCTGTGCTACCACCAGCTTTACATTTCACAGTATAGACCCATTTGCAACCTATTGTTCTTTTCTCCTTAGGTAAATCAACTATCTCCCAAGTACCACTTCTTCTAAGAGCATTTATCTCTTCCATCACTGCTAACTTCCAATTCGGATCATCAAGAGCTTCCTAAATATTTCTTAGGACAAATAAGTGTGAGATTTTTGAGGTAAAAGTCCTATAAGTATGAGAGAGTTTTTCATAAGAAAGGTATTTGGCAATGGGATATTTTGGATTTGGATATTTGATTCGAATACCTTTCCTAACAGCTATAGGAATATCAAGGTTTGATGGTTCTTAGTTATGAGAAACAATAGGAACTGAAGATAAGTTAGGAATAGAATTACCTATAATATCTAAAGGTCCAGTTCCCGAAGGTTGAGGTTGAGATTGGTCATTTCCAAGAGGAATAGGCTGACTTTGACTCTTTTGATGAGGTATTCTTCGAGTATAAACCAGAGGCTCATTATTGGGAACTTTAGTGCCCGGTTGTAGTGATTCTTCCCCTGTTTCAGATACAGTAATGTTTGGCACTATATGACTAGGATTCCTTTCATTGTTTTCATTGGTTTTATCACATTGTTCCTCACTTTGAATTTCGGGAATAATAGTAGGATGAGGTGAAGGAGTGAAAATCACATTTGGTAAAGGAGTAAGAGATAAATCCCAAAAAATTTCTTCCATCACCTTATTCTCCCCCTAAAGAGAATTTTTGGAAAAATAAGATTTATTTTCAAAGAAAGAGACATCCATACTTACATAAAATTTTCTTGTTTGGGGATTATAGCACTTATATCCCTTTTAATTAGAAACATACCCTATGAAAACACATTTTTCAGCTCGAGGATCAAGTTTGGACCGAGTATTATCGGGTATATGAACAAAAGCTATGCAGCCAAAAGCCTTTAGAAGTAAATCCGAGTATATCCTTGATAATGGAAAATTCTTTTGAAACATTCTAATGGCGCGCTATATTTTAAAACATGTGAAGGCTTTCTATTAATTAAATACGAAGCTGTTAAAACAGCTTCCCCACAAAGATATTTTAGAACATTCATTGAAAATATTATAGCACGAGCCACTTTAAGTAAATGTTTATTTTTTCTTTAAGCAATTCCGTTTTGTTGAGGGGTATCCACACATGTACACTGATGATGGATATCCTTTTCTTTCAAAAAAACTCCCCAAATTTTTATTAAAATACTCAGTTCCATTATCGGTGTGAAAAATGCTAATTTTTGTTTGAAACTGAGTTTCAACCATTATGTAAAAATTCTTAAAAAAAATTTCAACCTCAGACTTTTCATTCATCAAATAAACCTAACATAAACGGGTATGATCATCTATAAAAGTAACAAACCATTTTTTCCTAGAGATAGTAGTGACTCTTCCAAACATCACTATGTATTAAATAAAATGGTTTTAAAGAAGTATAAGGTTTTGGCAAATAAGTAGTATGATGACTCTTAGATAAACAACAACTTTCACAATAGAATGATGAACAATCCAAACCTTTAAATAAAGTAGGAAACAAATGTTTAAGATATGGAAAGGTAGGTTGTCCTAGTCTTAAATGCCAAAACATTATTTGTTCATAAACAGAGTTAGAACTAACACTACTAAGGCCCTGAGCCTTTTTATTACCGGAGAAGTCCCCATCAAAGTAGTAAAGTCCATCTATTATCTTAGCACTGCCAATCTTCTTCCTCGAGCTCTAGTCCTGAAATTCATAGTAACAATCATAGAAAATTACACGACAATTAGATTATTTGGTTAGTTTACTCACAGACAAAAGGTTACAGGCTAGTTTAGGGACATGGAGAACAGATTTAAGATCTATATTATCGGATACTTTTATCAAACCTTTTCCTGCAATAGGTGAGAAATTACCATCTGCAATTCTAATTTTTTCAAGGCCAGAACATGGTGAGTAAGTGCTAAAAAGATTGGAAAGGCTGGTCATATGATCAGAGGCTCCAGAATCGATAATCCATGGAGTATAATTTAAACAACAAGAAAGAGCATTAAGTGCACTACTTATTTGTGCAAGAGAAACACTAGGAATACCAGATGAAGAATTACATTTCAGCAGCTTCAGAAGGTGATCCATCTACTCCTTGCTTAAGGGACTTGTCTCAGCTTCATTAGCAGTAGGAACCACATGCCTATTTCTGTCACCAGGCTTGCTACTCTTCCAATTCGTTGGTTTTTCGTGCATTTTCTAGCAGTTCTCCTAAGTATGGCGCGATTTGTTGCAGAAGTCGCACCAGACCCGTGGCTTCTCTTCAGTTTTTCGCTAAAATTTAACGATTTTATTAGCAGCAGTCTCTGCAACAATAAGGGCAGAACTCTTAACAGGTCCGCTGGTAGTCTTCTTCCCCAACATTACATGTCTGCGGCTCTCTTCTCTTCGAACCTCAGCAAACACTTCACCAATTGGAGGAAGTGGAGTCCTGCCAATGATCCGTCCTCGTACTTCATCAAATTCCACGATGAGCCCAGCAAGGAATTTGTAAATGCGATGAGCCTCCACAGTCCGTTTGTAGTGATTGGCATCTTCAGTGGATTTCCATTCATAATCATTGAACAGATCCATGTCCTGCCAAAAGCACTTCAATGAATTGAAATACTTGGTGATCGAGTCTTCTCCCTGCCGAATCTCACCAAGTTTTAGAGTCAATTCGTAGATCTAAGACTGATTTCCAAATCAGAGTACATCAGATTCACGTGTTCCCAGAGCTCCTTGGCCGTAGAATAGCACATACAGTTGGAGCTAATATCCTTGTCCATGGAGTTCACAAGCTATGTCATCACCATTGAATTTTTTGCATCCCAGGTCACATACGTTGGGTCCTCCAATACTGGTGCCTTCTTGTCTCCCGTCAGGTACCCGATTTTTCCCCGCCCTCTAATGTACATCCGAATGGACTAGGACCACCATAAATAATTGTCACCACTAAGGCAAATATTGGTGATTTGAACCGAATGAAAATCGGTACTTGGGGCTTGAGTTGTCAAATTGGTTGACTGGGTTGTGATAGGCGAGGTTCACATAGAGGAAACATCAGACATGGCTGATCAGCGAAGAAATTGTGTAGAAAAGAAAATTAGGATTTTTTTATTTTTATTTTTTTTAAGGGTGGCTCTGATACCATAAACTTGAAAGGAAAGAAATATGAAATAAACTTTTTCTCTGTATTAGCACACAATTCATAAGTTTACACGGATTCTCTTTATAGGAGAGAATACACGCACATAACTAGTTGACCTAATTAATAATTTCCTAATTTATAGCATTTGACCAATATTCTATTTACAGCAAATATCCTCCAAATATTATATTTACAGTTAATAATATTTGGTAATATTACTACCAAATCTTTCCTTTTCAACATAAAGTCACCACATAATATGGGCATCACATCATCATTTACTATGAAGAGCAAATTTCTATAGCAGCTTTTTACAAAAACTCTCGATACATTTTTCAGAGATCATTTCACCACATTCAAAAGAAATTTCTGGCTCTTATCTGCTAAAACCAAATAAGCTTTGACAAACTCCTCTTTAACCATGAAAAGTACAGAAGCTGCAAAAACACTCTGTACTATCTTTGTGCTCATCCCTTTGTAAAAGCTACGCAATCCTTCATACCGGATCATCTTAAAAATTGCATCAAGAGTACCTGTTTTGCAAAGAACGAACCGTACTTTTTGAGACTCTTAAGAGAAGATATCATCTGTTCTTTCAATGAAGAGAACACAATAAATACTACGTGCCTTTAACATTTAACCTTTAACCGCAATGCATAATCTTTTAGATAAAGAACCTATATTATGAAACTTATTTTGCATGGATTTCAAAGAGTAGAAATTTATTTATCTTTATTGAATCAAACCAAATAAGTGAGGGGAAGAAGAGCCACAAATAATTGTTGAACTTTGCCTTATAGCTTCAAAACTTCTCCTCTTGCCTCTACACCTTGAATCCGAAAGTTTGAACACAACTCCAAAATAAATATATATAGCCAATAATAATAAAGGAGAGTGCAAAATACATCACCATTTTATAACTCCTTAATCAGAATTAGCTTTTTAGTATTTATAACATCAATCCTATCAGAGGTGTGGACTTGGCACACTCTTTCTTAAATAAGCACACTCTTGAAACATTGACGAAGCACCTAGCTACAACTGCCCGAATCTAAGAACAAAAGGAATTAACCTAGAGAAACATTTGAAAACACAACAGGCTGTGTTCTTTAACTATCTGTCACGAAACTAGCTTTCTTAATTTTTCTTAAAACTTAAACTTGTAAATTATTTCTTTTGAAATCAGATTCATGCAATCAAGCCAACAAAAGTCATTATCAAAATCATTTTCATGATAATAGAAAGCACGATCAGCCACTAGGCGTAGGCATATTAATAAGGGCACATATGCCGGAACTGGGATCGCCCCGGATATTCTGGTTCCCGTGAGGGGCCATAGTGTAAAATAAATTATGCCAAGAAATATATCATGATGCCATTAAGTAGCACAGACACCCCCAAAAAGAGTCCGTTGGGTGGTAATACATGTAAGAGACTCAAAATGAATCTCTCTTCTAAGATGTGTCCATAATTGAACACAAGTCCTATGATTTTGAATTTGGCTGAAACTTCTGAGAGACTCCCCAATACATGATGTGTCTTCCATTTTTTGTATATACCTCATTGACCTCTATTAAGGCTTTGACAATTACACATACTACACCTAGTTTCTAAAATTACAGTGGCATGCTTTTGACTTGGTTGTGAATGACAGATTTGCTACTGTTAGCAGGCTTATTGACACAGACAAAATGTGTTAATGTTGTCGTTCCGATGTTTCAAAATGCCAACTTAGTCCTCTTTCAAGTACCAGAATAATTGCATAGACAATCATGTCCTTCAAGAAAAAAAGGGATAAAATGTGGAATAAACCCTTCAAGAGCAACGTAAAATTAAATGAACCATATTAGTTTGTATGTTCTGTTCTTTTAGTTTTTAACTATGTAAATGCATCCATACTGTATTATGTTTGTACCCTTCATTCGTGCCTTTGCTACATTGCCAAGATATATAATTGGAATATATAAGATGAAAAAATGATATTTATGATAGTAAAACCTTAAAGAAATGAAAATGATGATATGCTTGAACATATCTAAAATACCTGAATATCTTAATGACGTGTTTCCACCAATTTCCTGTTTTGCTTGAAGCCTTGACTGCATATAGATAACAAAGACTAACACAATTAAGAAGTAACTTCAAGAAAAATAGCGCGCACATGTGTGTGTGTATATATATATTACCTACACTATCATAATCAGTAACGTACAGTACATAAAGCCGAAATACACATTAAGCTCATCACCCATATTACAGTCTTGAGATATTCAATACAAATAAACTACAGCATGAAGCGCACAATGAAAAACCAGTCCATGGCTCCAACATCAAGGGCATCAAATAGTAAAATACCAAGCCAAAGAATCCACGTCTCTCCTCTTCAATACCAGCTAGATCCTAATTTTCTTCTCAATGGTTGATTAAATTTTTAATAAGAGAGGCAGTCTCTTTTCTGATTTGAACAAAGATTTGAAACAATTCATGCTGGTATAATTTTCTTCAGTTTCAAAGTGTGTATGTTAAGGGGACAAGACTGTGAAGCAAACAAGGGCTTCTTTGCCATATCAAAATATTAATTTTAGAAACAACATAAAGATTGATCTATAGAATAGGACTTTACTAATTTGAAGGACTCATGAGAATATGGCACTCAACTTTATACTAGTTGTTAGTTTTAAATGATATTGCTACTGTTTCACAGCTTAGTTTCTCATGTCACGACTTCTAACTTCTAAGTCATTGACAGCATTTCCTATGAATCTTTGACAATGTAGCAGCTAACGAGCACAAATAAGGATGTAAATGGGTAAAATTTGTCTCAAAATGTCATATACATGTCAATGACAACCTAAACTCATACACATGCACCAAGGGAACACTACATGCCCCAATGTATAAACATAATTTTCAGGTTATGCCATGGATTGTCTCAAAATGTAATATACCATCAGTCTTGGTCACTTGCAGTGCTGGGGAGGGGAATTTTATAGACGGCCCAACATTTGGCACCATTTTGCACAATGTGGCTGCTCTTAGACTCGAACTCACACCCTCACACTATTGTTCCTTGGATGATGTAATTGATTATATAGATTGTGTTAATTGCAGAAGGAAAAGAAGAGAGAAAAATACAAAGCTTTTATGAAACCAAAGAGTTTACCTTAACAACTAACAAGGGGTATGTTGAGACAGTCGCACCCAGTTTTGCCAGTGCCCCTAATAAGAAAACCTTTTGAAACAAGACAGCAAAAAAGTTAGAAAAAGACGTTACCAATTCTAACAGGAATGCTAATATGACCAGGGCTACCAGCTATTTGGATAAAAATGAAGAGTAAACTTGCTATTTATTGAATATAAAAATCATTTAATATTCCTTGTTCAAGATGCATTGTTTCATAACTTTTTAACCATCATTTCCATCGAAGACCTGGTATGAAATAAATCGTGAGCGCTCAATTACTAGTAAAGAACTATTTTTATATATAAATGACCAAACAGTTAGTGTTCTTTCCAAGCTACCATCTTAACAGGGGTTTACCTCAGTAGCAGTTACATCTTTCATTCCCTGTTTGATTGTAGCACGTTTAACTCTCAGATGCTTTAACGAGGTCTCGTAAATCATGAACTGGATGGATGGATTGCACACCTGCATATATCAATTTCTATAAATTCTAGCAGTAACATAAGATTACACCTAAAAGTTCAATCCTTTCCCTTTTTCTCTTTTCTTTTCTACTACAAAATAAATAAATAAATAAAGTACCATGATAAGTGTTGGGATGATGCCTTTCCAGAATCCAGTAATTCCTGCTTCTTTATAAACTTCGCGTGCCTACAAATGATATACAAATGCACAGCCAAGAATGTGGGAAGTAAGAGTATTTAAAGAAGAAAAATAAGTAAACAGCCACAGAAAAATTACATTAAATCATCTTGAGACCTTCCAAGCAAGGCATGGATGTAAATAACATAATCAAGTTCAGTAGTTATTAAGGTTTCTTTGATGCCAAGCCTAAAATGTTAACACAAAATCCCCAACAATAATCACAAATACCTTAAGACATTGGGACTAGAATGTTGTTTAAACGTGCTTAATTAATTAATTTTCATAAAATTTCATGTTAAGTGCATCTGTGGTTATAGCATTAGTTCAAAGTAAAACTAGTAAGCTTTTTAAAATTCTACCAATAGGGAATAACTGAAAATTCAATGTAAAAGTTATTAGATTTCAACAGTCAAATGACATGATAACATTTTTTGAGGGTAAAAATAAAATTGGAAGTATTGTAAAGCTGGGGCATTAAAGAGAAAATAACCTAAACAAATTGTGCTTAATTAACAGGGATAAAAAGAACATAACAACAATACAAATGTTCTAGTGATGAACAAAAAAGTAATAGCCAATAATACCAACCGCATGCAATGTTCCATAGGGATGAGGCTTTGTTGAATCAAGTTCATCCAATTTGTCTTGCAAAGTAGATTCCATCAAACTGTTTTCAGAAGCTTCCCTTAATAGAGCCTCCCTTTTTGCCTCCATAATTTTTCTTTCTGCTTGAGTATGTGTCTGGATATCAAAAGTAAAATGTCAGAAATTGAATCCTCAATGCATTTAATAGCAAAGAGATGACATTCAACAAAGTCATCCTACAATCCATATTAAAACATGTAAAGTTTATGCTCACTTCTACATAATTTTGTTTCTATAAAGGAATTGTATAGCAAACAATTGTTTAGTAATGGTAAAATCAGAATGCATCCATACCATATCTATTACATTTAAGTACATATGTGATACATTGCATATAGCAAGTTTATAAGAAGCACTTACACAAAAAAAAATTATAAGAAGCAAAGGATCAATTTGGAAACTTGAAGTTCCCTAATGACAGGGTGATCAGGGGTCAAAGTAACAAACATCTTGTAATTATTTGTTTCCCAGCAAGAATAAGAGTGGAGTTCTCTCAGGACCATACAGGTGTTATTCTTGATTGATGTCTTAACCAGTGAATAATTAGTAAATATGAACAACTGTTGTCAGCATCATTGACAATGAACTCCTGCTTATGCAGAAAAAGTCTTTAAACAGCACAAGCGACTCAAAGTACACTAAAGTCCACTTTGGACAGCCAATTAAAAATTTCCCATTTTGCAGGAACTCATAAACTATAAAAGTGCGCAAATCTAGGGTCACCTGCATACGAGTCACAAGAACCCATATTGGATTTGTAAGCAATACGTTGACGGACCTGCAGTAGAAGGGATTTGGGTTAAGATAACGATTAAAGCAAAAATTATTCTTCAAAACTGAAATGACATCATGAGTATATTCAGCCTTGTCCATTGTTGGTCCCTTATCCGTGTTGGTCCTGTTAAAGCAGGATGTTCGAAAGGACAGACTAGAGACAGCCTGCCTTTGGCATTAATTTTTCACAAAGTGGCTGCTCTTGGACTTTGAACCCGCCTCTTATGCTTGTCAACTGATTTGACCATTGCACTTGGCACCAAATCACTAAAATCTCAGCAAAACAACATATGAAAAATATGATGCTAGACATATTGTTACGATGAATCTCAACAGAGCTTTCACACAATATCCTTACCGCAATACAAAATTAAGATGATACTAAAACACTATTGAGAGCTATTTTTCTTTTGGTGATATATAGATGGATGTTTACCCGGCAATAGCAGCCACAAGAAGCCAAGAAAATATGCCAACAGTACCATCTCCACGTCCTTTTTTTCTACGGGCAACCGCAATTGCCTCAGCCTTGTTTTTGAAGACCTGATAAAAATAATAATAAATGCCCTGGTAGCATTACAAGGACAGTATCAGATCGTAGGAAAAGTTCTTGAACAAATATTATACATCAATCTTTTAAAGGAAATGTTTGAAGGTGCTAATAAAGGAACAAGTATTGATCATGATGCTCATATTCAAGGCATTTCAGTGTAAAATATAAGCTCCACATTAAAGACCTAAACAACCACAAACCACAGTTGGCAATGAGGTAATCACACACAGTGTTCACATGCCTCAAATATACATATATACAATTTTTCTATTTGTATATATACAATTTTTATATAAAAATATAAATATAAGAAAAATTAAGACTACAAATATTTTGGCACCTGACCATCACTGACTGTTACTGCTCTTATTTTACAATGCTTTTGTAATACCATTTTACTCTAACCATGCAATGCTGATGTCAATGACTAATGATGCTGAAAGCCAAAAACAGCAAAGAAATCAAAGAGCGAATGGAGTTTTCAATTCACACCTCCTTTCAAATGGAGTTGTGTGTGATTATTTTGGAACCAAGCTACCCATAATATATCCTTACTTTGCAAAAGGTCTCACATCAGGTATGATATGTGTTAGCATATATGATAGCCACGATTTATGGAATGACTTACCATATTAGCATAGATTTGATTATGCATATGTTAGCATTTATGATAGCCATGATTATGGAATGACTTACCATATTAGCAGAGACTTGATTTAGTTTCTTTTCTTGTAATATGAACATGTGCTTTTATTTTATCTATAAATATTAGAGCTGTAAATGAGTGATTGATATCATTCAAGCCTTTACATAATATAAATCTCATTCAAACTTTTTACATATTTCTCTTCTCTTTCTTCCATATTGTATTTCTACTTGGTATTAGAGCAAGGGTGGTCTGACTGCAATGAGGGCATTGCGAGTTCGCCACCACCCATTCGGGAATGGTCTAAGGTGAGATCGCTCATCTGGGAGGTGTCGGGTAGGCAGGGTGGTCCGACCTCAATGAGGGTGTTGCGAGTTTGACACCACCTATTCAGAAATGGTCTGAGGAGACATTGTTGATTCTTTCATCTACATTGTTTAAACATATGTATAAAGGAGAATGGTCTGAGGAGACATTGTTGATTCTTCTATCTACATTTTTTAAATATGTGTATGAAGGAAAATGGTCTGAGGAGACATAGTTGGTTGTTTACAGTTTGAGGAGACGTGATTGGTTGTTTATAGTCTGAGGAGACGTGATTGGTTGTTTACGATCTGAGGAGACATTTTTGGTTGTTGATCAACATTTTTAATCTAGTCAGATTTGCACTCTGCAACTTGTAGATTCTGAAGAAGGGTGCTAGCAAGACCGTGTTTGAAGATGCCTTGTCCAAGTTGGGCATTTCAGATATCGACGCACCAACTTGAGGGGGACTTGAGGGGGAGTGTTAGCATATATGATAGCCACGATTTATGGAATGACTTACCATATTAGCATAGATTTGATTATGCATATGTTAGCATATATGATAGCCATGATTTATGGAATGACTTACCATATTAGTAGAGATTTGATTTAGTTTTTTTTCTTGTAATATGAGCATGTGCTATTATTTTATCTATAAATACTAGAGCTGTGAATGAGTAATTGATATTATTCAAGCCTTTACATATTATAAATCTCATTCAAACCTTTTACATATTTCTCTTCTCTTTCTTCTATATTGTATTTCTACTCTATGCCATTATAAACTCTAACTAATTATTGGTATCTTTATTCAACAAGGTTGCATCTAAAGATTCATTGCTTTTCAATATGTTTGAGTCCTCCATTAAGAAGGCAGTCATGAAATTTGGACTAAGGTAAGTATCAGTTCTTGTTTTTCTTGCTGCACCTCAGTTCTAATGAAGGACGGTCATTTCAACTTTTAAGATGTTTCATGTTGAACCTTCTCAACATCCGTTTCGTTTCTATATTACCTTTCCTCAAGGATGTTTTTATGGTTTCATGGGATAAATATGTTGGAAGAAAGCTTCTGGTTTGAAAAATCTACAATTAATGTGCTCTGATATCAACTGAGGAGGCTCTTTGCCCAAGGTTCTGATACCAATCGAGGGAAAGGACCTTTGCACATGGCTCTGATACGCCAAAGTACGCAAAGGAGGTGAATAGGTCTTGTACACAATTTAATACTCTTACCTTATATCTGTTTTAACTAATTTCAATTAATTAATTATTCATGCTCATCATCAAACCCATGGCTTAAGTGGTATGTCTTCCATATTCCCAAATGGGAGATCAGGGTTTGAAGCCCCAGTGGGGTCATGCTTATGCGAGTGTACTTACTATTAAAAAAATTTCTTCATGCTGATGTATATCATCATTCAATTTGAACCACAAAACAATAGAGCAAAGTAAATCAAAGACAAAGATTTATGTGTTAAACCATGAAAAGGGAAAAACCAATAGACTTAGTTCAGGCAAATCAAATCAACTATGGAGAAGAATTACAACACTAGGTTTTAGGCTTTACCTAGAATTACCTAGTTACCTCATACCAGACACACACTAGATGTTCATCTTCGGACTCTTTTGTGTCAGATCTACTAATTTGTTCCTCAAGTGTTTTCCTCTTCTCTCTATGCTTCATCTGTTTTACTAGCCGTCCAAACTCCAAGTGTCGTTTGGTGTATAAATGTTGAAGTTGATCAATATTCAATTATTCAACGAGACTCTTTGTTTTGAACTCAATTACAAAATATATAGGATTTTCTATGCGAAATCAGTTGTGATCGAAAAACAAAACTCTCAATCTCTTGACATTTGTGTAGTTGCATCGCTTATGTTATTTTATTTTTAGAGAACCTCCTTAGACATCTTTTATAGTGTTTGAAGTGATCAGTGATTGATTAAAAATGTTTTGGGAGAGTTTTGGAAGGTTGAGAAACCTTTTCTGACTTGAAAGTGTGTGTCTTAAAGTAGAAATATAAAAAGAAGAGAAAGGAGAGAATTGCGTAAAGGCTTGAATGAGATGAATTACTCATTCACAGCTCTAGTATTTATAGATAAAAAAGAACACATGCTCATACTACAAGAAAGGAAACTAAATCAAATCTAAATCAAATCACAACCTATTCTAAAGCGTATTCTATAGCATAGTTAACTGTCTGCTATTATGGTAAGTCATTTCATAAATCGTGGCTATCATATATGCTAACATATGCATAGTCAAATCTCAGCTATTATGGTAAGTCATTCTATAAATTATGGTATCATATATGCTAACACTCCCCCTTAAGTTGGTGCGTGGATATCTGAAACGCCCAACTTGGACAATACATTCTTAAACACAATCTTGCTGACGCCCTTTGTAAGAATGTCTGCAAGCTGCTGAGAGCTTGTGGCAAATGGAGTGTAAATTTGACCAGAGATGATCTTCTCTTGAATGAAGTGACAGTCCACCTCTATATGCTTAATCCTGTTATGCTGAACGGGATTTGCTGCTATGCTAATGGCAGACTTGTTGTCACAATAGAGTGAGAATGGAAGCGACACTGGAAGGCACAAGTCTGTCATCAAGGTTTTCAGCCATAGCAACTCATATACCCCAAGAGCCATAGCCCTATACTCTACCTCTGCACAAGATTCGAGAGACAACATTCTACTTCTTACTACGCCAAGTAACCAAGTTACCACCAATAGTAGTACAATAACCCGAAGTTGACCTCCTATTTGAAATTGATCCTGCATAATCAGCATCTGTCCAAGCCTCAACATGTAAGTGACCATGATTGGCAAACAAAACACCACGGCCTGGAGACCCTTTTAAGTAGCGAAGGATCCGAATAGCTGCATCAAGGTGAGGGGCACGAGGAGAGTGCATGAATTGACTCACGACGCTCATGGCATAAGCAATGTTAGGTCGAGTCATGGATAAATAGATGAGCTTCCCCACAAGTTGTCGATACTGACCAACATTAGACAACAACTCCCCCTCAGAATCAATCAACCGATGATTCTGCTTAATCGGAGTATCAGCAGGACGAGCGCCAAGCTGACCAGAAGCAGAAAGCAAGTCAAGAACATACTTGCGTTGAGAGATGAAAATGACAGCCTTGGAGCGATCCACCTCAATGCCCAAGAAGTATCATAGGGGACCAAGATCCTTAATCTCAAACTGACGGCCAAGATAGCTTTTAACCTTAGCAATTCCGGTAGTATCATCGCCGGTAAGAACAATATCATCGGCATACACAATGAGAGCAATTGTTTTACCGCCTGAATGACGTAAAAACAAGGTATGATCAGCTGCACTTTGATGGAAACCAAACTTGAGGATGGCAGTGCCAGAGTGATCAAACCAAGCTCTAGGAGACTGCTTGAGGCCATACAGAGAACGATGAAGACGACATACCATACCAGAATGAGCAGGAGAACGAAAGCCTGGAGGAGGAACCATGTACAGCTCCTGAAAATCACCATTGAGAAAGGCATTCTTGACATCTAACTGAAATAGAGGCTAAGATCGAATTGCAACAACGGAAAGTAATACACGGATGGTATTCATCTTGGTAACAGGGGCAAAAGTCTCCTGATAATCTATGCCATAAGTCTGAGCATAACCCTTGGCAACCAACTGGGCCTTGTAACGAGCAACTGACCCATCTGGATTATGCTTAATTGTAAACACCCAACGACAACCCACAGCCTTTCGTCCAATAGGAAGAGGAACCATGTCCCATGTCTGATTTTTCTCAAGTGCTTGTAGTTCTTCTGTCATAGCATTACGCCATTAAGGTTATGCTAGTGCATCTGCAACACTAGAAGGAAGAGGAACCGAGGCAACAGAAACAAGATAACTCCAATAGGAGGGCGAGAGAGCATAATCAAAAACAAAATTAGAAATAGGATATGTACAAGAACGTTTACCCTTTCGAAGAGCAATGGGGCGATCATCAAGCGAAACAATAGCTTGAGAAGGCGGAGCTGGTGCCGAAGGAATAGGGCAGTCGATCGTGGGAGTAGAAGCTTGTACCTGTTGTCTTCGACTATAAACCTATGAAAAAGGAACAATTTCCCCTGCTGGAGGGGTATCATGAGGAGGAATCATAGAAGACGAAATAGGTTACGGTAAAGAAGTTGAAGATGGAATAAGGTGATCATCCATTATATTCAATGGGAACCATTCACTTTGAGAACCAACTTAACCACTATAGTATGGTGTATACTCAAAGAAAGAAACATCCATGGATATAAACTGCCGACGACTGGGAGGATGGTAATACCTATAACCTTTTTAAGAGTGAGAATAGCCCAAAAACACACACTTCAAAGCCTTGGGGTCAAGCTTTGTACGAGTCTGCCCCAACTGCTGAACAAAGCACACACACCCGAAGACTCGCGGAGGAATAAAAAAAAAAAAAATGAATTGGGATGTAAGATTGAGAGTGGGGCTGCAAAGTTAAGAACCCTAGAAGGAGTCCTATTAATGATGTAAACAACTGTAAGAACTACATCTCCCCAAAATAACTGGGGAACATTCATGCCAATGCAAATTGCTCTGGCTAACTCAAGGATGTGGCGATTCTTTCTCTCAGAACGACCATTTGAGGAGTTTTAACATTAGCCATCTGATGCTCAATCCCAAATTCTATACATAACCGTTGTACCTCCCCATAAGTGTACTTCGTACCCTAGTCAGATCTGAATTTTTTAATGGTACGACCATATTAAGTCTGAACCATTGCCATAAAATTTTTAAAAATGGTGTATACCTCATTTTTAGTTTTCATAAGATAAACCCATGTAACACGACTATGATCATCAATCTGAATTTTTTAATGGTACGACCATATTGAGTCTGAACCATTGCCATAAAATTTTTAAAAATGGTGTATACCTCATTTTTAGTTTTCATAAGATAAACCCATGTAACACGACTATGATCATCAATGAACAACACAAAATATCAAAATCCAAGAATAGAAGTAACTGGGTAAGGACCCCACACATCTGAATGAACAAGATCAAAAGGTGTTAAAGTAGATTTATTACTACTAGCAGGATAATTGGAACGAACATGTTTAGCCATATGACATGTCTCACAGGATAAATCTGACACTGCCACGTTACAAAATAAGGAGGGAAATAAATGTTTTAAATAACTGAAAGAAATATGTCCTAAACGCATGTGTTAACGTATAAGCTGGGCTTTATTAGATGAAACAATATTAGAAAATGAGACAAAATGTGCCTGAGGTGACAAAGGAGCATCCAACAAGTATAAACCGTCCACTTCATGCCCACTGCCAATTGTCCGTTTCGACACCAGATCCTGAAAAATACAATGAGAGGGATAGAACGTTACACTACAATTTAATTGTTTGGTAACGCTACTAACAGAAATAAGATTTGTAGTCAACTTTGGAACATGAAGTGTATCTGACAAAGTTAATGAAGGAGTAACTGATATGTGACCCTTCCTAGCAATGGAAGATGGAGAGCCATCCGCAAGGCAGACCTTGCGATAGCCAGAGCAGATATTATAAGATTAGAAGAGTGAGGACATACCAGTTAAATTGTTTGAAGCACCAGAATCAATGATCCATGGTGTCTAAGATGTAGATACACTATGTGCAGACGCAATAGTACCTGAGTGGGTATAAGTGGAGGTTGGCTGAGATGATGCCTCCATTTGGTTGAAGAATTGCTTAAACTTGTCCAAATCAACTTGAGTCAAGGTAACTGTGGTAGAAGATATAGAGGCAGAGTTGTCAAGAGTTGACAACAAGATTGGTTGTGTAACAGAATGTGCAGAAGATCGAGGCTGTTGTTTCTATTGCGGTGGGCGTTCATGTAGAGCATAACAACGAGATTTGATGTGACCAATTTTTCCACAATGGTCACACCGTCCGCATTGTCGTCCCAGAGGAGGACCGGTGGTAGAACTCTGAACTAACTGGGATGGTGTAGTTCCTAAAAGGTTGGGAACCCGAACTGCCATAGTAGAACAATCAATAGAATCAACACCTAATGGATGAGTTTGACGGCTCTTATCTGACAACACATAGGAGTATGCATCCTTAAGAGCAGGGAATGAAGATAAGCCCAATAAATGAACACGATCATACTTAAACTCGTCGTTCAACCCGGTAAGAAACTGAAACACTCGATTCTTCTTCACAATCCCTGCATATAAAATTGCATCATCTGGATCCTTTCAAGAGTGGAAAGAATCATAATATGACATCTCCTCCCAAATAGCACGAAGTTTGGCGATTTAACCTGAAACTGTCAAGTCACCCTGAGAAATCCCGGTGATATCTCGCCCCAGCTGGAAAATTCGTGCATTATTCTGCCTCTGACAATAAGTGCGTTGAACTGAATCCCAAATCTCCTTAGCAGTCTTCATAAACATAGAGCCAACAGCTATGCTTGGTTGCATCAAATTGACTAGCCAAGACATAACTATAGCGTTATCTGCAAACCAATGTTGATATGTCTTCTCTGACTCAGCTAGTTCTTTCTCAAAACCAGTAACATAGCCAATCTTACCTTTGCTAACAATGAACATGTTGACAGACTGTGCCCAAATCAAATAGTTGGAACCATCCAACTTCACTGTGGTGATTTGAAGTCCTGGATTTTCTGATGAGTTGGTGGGAAAAATGGTACCACCACCAACAGAACTTAAGCCAAGAGAATTAACAGTCGAGGACCTTGAATCTGCCATAATCTATCACACGACAGTAAAAAACTCCAAAAACACCACAAATTCTGTTAAAAAAACAAAGGGTCTCCTTAGACCATAAACAATAACAATGTCTCCTCAAACCATTCTCGAAAAATCAAAATACATACTTTTTTTAAGGAGCGCTGCCCGCTTACATATAGCCAGACAGCCTCCTTCTTAATATCCGGAACCTCTTTGTAGACTATTTTTTTTTTTACCCAAGCCCTTCTAGGTGTTGGAGACCAACTATTCCAATTTACCCAACCCTAAAAGAGTAAAAAAGAAATTATAAAACTTAAAAATACCTGTTTTCGATCACAAAACAGCAACATAGAAAAACATATGTAGGCAACGTCACACGATAGCCTAAGGTGGCTGTCGCACAAGTAACGAGGCTGCTGAAAGGTGTGGAAAGGTGTTGTCTCTGATACCAATTAGAAATAAAAATAAAAATAAAAATAAAGGAGAAAGGAGAGAATTGCGTAAAGGCTTGAATGAGATGAATTACTCATTCACAGCTCTAATATTTATAGATAAAAAAGAGCACATGCTCATATTACAAGAAAGGAAACTATCAATCTAAATCAAATCACAATCTATTCTAAAGCATATTCTATAACATAGTTAATTCTCTACTATTATGGTAAGTCATTCCATAAATCGTGGCTATCATATATGCTAACATATGCATAGTCAAATCTCTGCTATTATGGTAAGTCATTCTATAAAATTATAAATCGTGGTATCATATATGCTTAACACTTCACGACTCTCGAAGCCCACCACCGATCAAATCCTAGGCAACTTTAATGGATCCAAACAAATTCCAATGGTGACCGATTGATTGCATAGCTCTCTAGACTCTGGACTACGCTGAAATATAAGTACTAAAAATTCTAAGAGCTGAATTTTAAGTACTAAAGTTTTTAAGTGGTTATTAAAAAATAAATATTTTTTTATACTTTTTTGAATTTGCAGCAATGAGCATTCAGTGATAAGACCATTTTCAATGACAATTAAATTGTCTTATCAAACCCTCCTAATTGAATAAGCCCTTAAAATAGTTCAGAATAAAAGGTTGAATTGAGTTATCAAACAAGTTTGATCGATCCAAATTTTCTGCTTAACCTAATTGCACATAGCTTGACTTCAAACGAATTCAAAATTAGTCATGCAAGTATATCATCAGAAAACAGTGACTTAAATGATTAATAATGTACTTAATTGGAATTTGATCAAAATTCACCAAATCCCTAGAAAATGAGTATTGGATTAAAATTTTAAAACGAACCATTGAAGCAGCAGTTCCAAACAGAGAAGGCCTCAAGCCACTGTAAAGTCCTCCCAACCCTTCACTTCTTATCACCTGATAACCAGAATAGTGAAAATTTTCAAGCCAATGACAATCCAAGCCGGGAAGGTCAGAACAAAAGAAAGAAGAGAAGAATCGAAGACTGACCTGAAGGATTTGCACAATCGTACCGCCTGCAGTGGTAGCACGACTACGATCGGGAGGAATCAAAACCCTAGCTTTCTTCGCAATTCTCTCTGTTTGTTGCCGCGTATTCACCTACAAACCAAACTCAACCCGCTAATTGGATAAATAGTTACAGTGAGTGTGTGTCACTTGTGTAAATAAAATATATATAGATGATGCATGGTATGTATGTACCGTTTGGAGTGGGTAAGTGATGATCTGAGCAATGATACCTCCACTAGCTCCGGCGAGGCCATTCAAGACGGCGTTTGACATGCCTTCGGCTTTGGCCATAAGGAATTATGGATACTGTGTGTCTCTGTGTAGAAATAACTGTAGAAAGAACTTCAACCTCCAAATACATTATTAGATTCCGCGACGCGCGGAATCTATCTTTTCCCATGGTCTAAGATATTTTCTGTTCTTTTTCACACTAGTACCCTTTTTGGTTACCAGCTTCGTTTTAACTCAAAATAACGTTTAGCATGTACTTTAACATTTGTTTGGGGGTTCAAATCATAAAATCCCCTATATTTTTAGAAAACTATCATTTTACCCGCTTAAGTAAAGAAATTATCATATTTATTCTATAACTTTTCAAAAGTGTATCATTTTACCCCCATTCCATTTATTTGCCGTCAAATAGTAACAGAAAGTCAACTTTTAAAATATTGTACTACCAAAATGCTCTTTTAATGGTTAAAATCATTAAACACCCATTTACTATCCAATTTGATCACATAACCCGCTGTACTAATAAATAAATCTCCAAAACTTACAAAAGTAATCATTTTACTATCATTCTCAGACATTTTCTTAAGATGGAATTTATAAATTAAAGAAATTAAAATTATATATTAAGCCCCAATGGCAAGTCTTAGAAGTATTAAAATTTTTAAATATAAATAATTTTTTTAATAATTACTCATTGTATAAATTATTAAATAATTACTCATTGTATAAATTATTAAAGTACTTCTTTATTGTAATCATTATAGTCATATTTTGTTAAAACTTGTGAGATTTATTTTATTATTTTTTTAAAAAAATATATATCCATTAGGCAAATTATGATATGTCTTTGCCAAAGTGGAATCATAGTACTCAAAAAAAATATTTTAAAAAATTAAATTATTGAAAATCTGACACAATTGCAAATAAAAGTAAAATTTATTTTCTTTCTAATATTAATTTTCCATATATTTAAAAAAGGTTGCACTTTTTTCATTCTTGCATTATATTGTTTCAAGATATATATACACATACGAAAATTAACATTATATAAACAAAATTAGAGATGTGCCATTCGCGCTCCCAAAAAAGCCCAAGGTTATATTTTGAAAATGACTAAAATAACCCTCAATTGCCGCTTTCAACATTTTGTACCATCACTCTCTCTACTTCCTTCTTTCTTCACAGCATAACCTACCACAAAATCATCTTCGTCAACCACCTTACCCAGTTATCCCACCATGTTAGTATTATAAACGCTTCCATCACCAATCACCATTATTTACTCTCTATATAACGGTGAATGAAATATATAAGAAGTGAAACAAATGAATTCACTCACAGTATAATTTTCCTTTACATCGTCATTACAATATATATACAATTCTTATACAATACATATCCCGAAGGTAAAAGGATGCAAATCTATACAATTATCAAGCCATTAAAAAGTTACAGACTTATAAACCCAAAGCTGCATGCGTGAAGAATAAATGGTTGCCTTCATTAATGAATGTCCCACTTTATCATACTTTAATAAAGACCAGCATGACTTTCTAGCAAAGACCATCATGACTTCCCAACAAATATTACTTTATGTTATCTTGGCTTCAATACTCCCCTGCAAACTCGGCGTCATGGATAAGATGAGTTTGGAGCATAAGAGTGAGAAACGCTTCTTGGGAAGACCTTTGGTAAAAACATTGGCTAATTGATCAACAGAGGACACAAAGTGAATACGATGACTTCCAGAGGCAACACTTTCATGGACAAAATGATAATCAAGTTCGATGTGTTTGGTATGAGCATTAAAAACTGGATTAGCAGCAATATATGTCGCACTGAGGTTATCATAGTAAATTAGTGCTGGAGAGAGAAAAGAAATGCGAATATTATGTAACATATGTTAAAGCCATACAGTTTTAGCACAGGTATTTGCTAGAGCACAATACTTAGCTTCAGCACTAGATCGGCAGATAGTAGGTTGTTTTTTGGCACACCAGGAAATCAGATTGGGACCTAAGAAAATACAATAACCAGTGGTTGAACGACGACTGTCAGGGCAGCCCACCCAACCAGCATTAGAGAATGCAGAGAGACGTAGAGTAAAAGAAGAGCGGTGCAATAGGAAGTCGTTACTAAGGGATCCTTTTAGATAACGAAGAATACATTTAACTGCAGCAAGGTGAGAATCTCTTGGTTGACTCATAAATTGAGAAACATGGTGAACAGCAAAAGAAATATCAGGTCTAGTTAAAGTAAGATATTGAAGAGCTCCAACAAAATGACGATACTCCGTGGGGTCAGAAAGTAATGAACCCATAATGAGAAAGTTTTGAGTACGGGCAACCATAGGTGTAGAACAAGGTTTGCAATCACTCATATTGCTGCGACGAAGAAGATCCAAGGTATATTTAGTTTGAGAAAGGTGTAATCCAGTAGAGTGAAGGAAAAGCTTCCAAGCTTAAGAAATAATGAAGGGCTCCAAGAGCTATGATTTCAAACTTGCAACCCAACGTGTGAGTGAAAGATTGAAGAAGAGAGGGCATATTACCGGTAAGGACAATGTCATCAACATAAAGTACGAGGACCATAATCATGGAGTCACGATGAAAAGTGAACATTGAGGGATTACCCTTACTTTGAACAAAACCAAAGGAAAGAATAAAGGAGCTGAATCATTGAAACCATACCTGAGGGGCCTATTTGAGCCTGTAAATAGCCTTATGGAGCTTACAAACATGAGTAGGATGATAAGGATCAGTAAAGCCAGGAGGTTGAGTTATGTAAACAACCTCGGATAAAGAACCATGGAGAAAGGCATTTTTAACATTCAGTTGATGGATCGGCCAACCAAAGGAAACAACAAGGCTAAGTATCATACAAATGGTAGTGGGATTTACAATTGGACTAAAGGTTTCATCATAATCAAGACTAGGTTGTTGATGAAAGCCTTTAGCAACGAAACGGGCTTTATAATGCTTAAGGCTGCCATCCGAACGTTGTTTAATTTTGAACACCCATTTGCAACCCACAATGTTAAGATTTGAGGTTAGTGGAACAAGAAACCAAGTGTTATTCTCTAAAAGATCATTAAATTCATCAGTCATGACAGTCCGCCATTCAGAAAATCGAGCGGCTTGTGAGTAACAAGTGGGCTCGATATCGGAGGAAGCGACTTAAGTAACAAACATTTGGGGTAGAGGATGGCATGTAACAACAAATGAAAGTTTCTCTTTTGGTTTAAAAATGACATCTTTAGAATGAGTCACCATGGAGTGTGTTAAATTGAAGGAGTGGTGAAGGTAATGGAGGAGAAACTGTGGGTGGAGAGGGGAGATTTGTATCCTCTGGGATAGGCAGCACAGGTGGAGTAGGAGATTGAGGTAATGGTGGAAGTAAGGATGTTGCCATAGTAGAGGGCAAAGGTGAAGTCATTGGTGGAGGAGACACAACAGGCACAAATACTAAGTACTGGTGGAAGATGATATGGAAGTTGAGTTGAGCAAGGCATAAGGGAATTTGCTTTCATTAAAGACAACATGTTGAGGGATGTGACGGCCCAAGTTTTTCAACCCGGTCCGTTAGTGATAAACCGAAAGATGACCCGATAAGGATCCGAAATGCGGAAGAAAAAGACAAACAATGGTCTCTAGAGATACAACAATGACTCTAAGACGCCAATGTGACCTTCAACAAGGTCACGGAACCCAAAGGAATCAAATGTGGAAGCGACGTTTCAAAAACGAACAAGAATGAACCTAGGGGCAAAAACATCATTTCTAGCCTAAAATTGGGTGCCACCGAGCACACCATTGGAAAGACAATGAAAAATTAATGAACTTAGACTCAAAAATCACTTGATTTGGAGTCCGGATGAAGAAGATATGGTTAACGGAAGAAGAAGGGGCAAAACGGTCAAAAAGTGCCAACCTAAGAACACCTAACCGGTTACCAAGCCTTCCTAACCGGTTAGGAGACCAAAAAAAATCCACCAAAACACTGCCCATGCACATGTAACCGGTTACGAGGCCCTATCTAAACGTTTACATATGAAGGAGGAAGAATGGACAGCCCAAAAACCTGGCAGCAGGGGTTTTTCAATGAAAATTTGAGGCCTTAGATGACATTTTCTGGAAAAACACAAAGAAGAAACCCCCCTCAAAATCGAGTTTTCTACGTGACAAGTGAGAAAAATCAAAAAACACGCATTGTAAAATACCCAAAATGCCCTCCCAAGAAAACTGGTCCAGAGGGTTCAAAAAGCTGCTAAATTGAAAAATAGAAGCTGAACTTCGGGATCGATTTCCGATGCTAAGACGACATTTTCTGGAAAAACACGAAGAAGAAACCCCCCCTAAAATCATGTTTTCTATTCAACCATATAAAGAACAAAATTTATTTCCCAAAGAAAATTCCCAAAATACCCTTAGGTCAGATTATGCAACAAAAGTGTAAAATGAGTCCGTTGGAGGCTCAAAACACAAATGATGAGGTTTTGCCAGGAAACGACTATGCACGCGAACGTAACTTACCTATTTAGACGTGTTACAATAGTCTATGGCTTAAAAATATAGCCGATGCAAAATCCGACCCCCCAACGGGCAAAAAGGCAAAAAATGAAACTTGGAACGAAAACTCGGAATTCAAAATTATGAAATGGTTCCAAAATACCGTTTGGCCCTTGGCCACACTTCATACAAGATTAACAAGACCCTAGAGAAGAATCAAAATAGAATTCCTACACCCAATGCAAACATGGTGAAGCAATAACTCAACATTTTTCAATATTTTCATAATATTCCATGAAGTCAAAAATTACATAGGATACAAATTACATGTCATTGGCCTCTGGCCTCATCTCATACATGTCAAATACATTGTAAAGAGTGTATTCATGTACACACTACATATATGGAATCAAATAATACATATTTTGATACATAAGGTTACAAAGAGGCATTTTAAGCTAACACTTGCATAAAATGGAAACTTAAAAACTATAAGCCATCCAAGGAGCAATGAGCACCACGAACCAAGTCTTCATACCTGAAAAATGTCCCCACTACGTGGGTGAGTAATATAAAGCTACTCGTAGGAAGTGAGCATGCATCGACCTAGCGTTTTACAAATTATCACCT